TAATAATAATAATAATAATAATAATAATAATAATAATAATAATAATAATAATAATAATAATAATAATAATAATAATAATAATAATAATAATAATAATAATAATAATAATAATAATAATAATAATAATAATAATAATAATAATAATAATAATAATAATAGTATTGATTTCGTGATTATTGTAAAATTAAAAATAAACCTTGAAATAAATGATGATAATAGAAAAATAAATAAGAGTTTGTGCATATTCCGAAATTATTTATTGTAAAACGAAGTGATTGATAAGATCAATGTACGACATGATAACAATGATAATCGTCTTTGATTACAAATAATAATCCTTTTGTTTTCTAACCGTATTTTTCCCTTCAAAATATTAAAAAATCAAATTGAAAAAAAGACAAACTGTGTGTTTTATTTTCAAATTGCAAATGAATTATCATTATGATTATAGCATGCAATTCAATATGTTTAAAAAGAATTTTTCCTCTTTTCTTGCTTTTCCCGGTTTTTCTTCCCTCCTCAAAGAAAAGAAGGATTTAAGTGATTAATGGTTTAATGGTTTGCTTCTATCACTTTTACGACACTTAATGAAAAGTGTGGAAAAAAGAACACCTTATCATCTCTCATAAGCTCAATGGCTTAACAATCATCTAATTTTGTCCTTCTTCATCTCTGTCATTTTTTTTTTTAAGCCTATGATTTGCAAAGGGAATAAAAAAAAGTAATTTTGCTATGATATTTTATGGTTTACTTCTTTTTTTTCCATTCATGCACTCTTTTAATCAAAGTTAAAATGTTAAAATGAAAATAATAATATTCTAAAATCACTTAAATCTATCTGACCTTTTATTTTTTAATTTTTCATTCTAAATGCAACAGCTCTTTCGTTCAATAATTATTAGTAAAGTAATTTGACCTTTCATCCTTTGTCATTTTATTTCTCCCTTTTTTCTTTCGTTTTATATAAAATTTTCAGAAAATAAAATTTTTTATTCCAATTTTATTTTAGCTAATAAGCAACATGAAGAAGATAAAGAGGAATGTGTTGTTGTCGATCGACGACAATATTATCCGAATCGGCAAGAATACCATGCAATCGTAAAACGAGGACAGGTGACCACGCCAAAGTATGAGTCTAGAAATGAGGAAATGTCATCGATCGATTTTCGTACTGTTGTACTTGAGGTTAGAAAGTTATGTATCATTGTAATTAATGAATTAATATATTAAGAAATTGAAGCAAGCAAACATTTAAATATATGAAAATTTGAAGTAATTATTGATTTGTCTTGTTATCATCGATTAATTATTCAGGGATGAAAAGGTGACAAAAAAAAAAACAGAAATGATTTGACGACTATGCATCAAATAATATACTATATTCATGGATGATAAATAATCAAATGGAAAGCAAATCCTAATTTTAATTTTCAATAATTTTAAGAAATTAGAAAATTAACAAAGGAACGAAATACCGTAAAACTGAAATTATGAATTGCAAGTAAATTTCATCATTAAATTTGATTGATTCATTTAAGTCAGCTTGATTAAAAAATGTCAATAAGTGATGTTAATGAGATTTTGAGATGAGAAAAACATAAATGTGAAATTTCCATAAATTTAAAAGGACTTAAAACGATGATTTAAAATCTTGAAAAGAACAAATGGATGAAAAAATTTACAGTAATTAATAATAATACTAATTAGCAGATATTTTTCTCTGTCCCAAAATGTAACCATTTTACCATATTGTATTGTTCACCACCGCCCAAAAAAAAGAGAAAATAAAATGAAATGAATTAATAAAATTAATTAGCTACGACATCAATCATATGTTAGTCTAATTATAAAAAAAAAAAATCGATTTTTTTGTCTTAATTAACGAATGTGGTAATGATATAAACTAATCATATATTCATAAATATGCCAAACTTTTTATTCGAATTTCTATTTTTTATAATAATGAAATTCTTCAAAATGAAATGGAACTTTTTAAATTTTGGAACGAATATTTTCCAAACAAAAAAAAACGAACAAAATTTTACAGTAATCAAGAATTATTCTTGTTATTTTGTTGCAAATCGATAATGCAAAAATAATTCAAATAAATTATTTGCTTATTGGCTAATTCCAAAATTTTTTTCTCTTTGCTGAAAAAATCTTACTGAAATAATGAAAGAAGGAAAATGATTGGATTACAGTGATAAAGCGTTATCAATATTATGCAAAAGAATAAGAAAAAGAAAAATTTTAATAAATTTTTGCAAATGATAGCAGATAGCAAAGAAGAAGAAGAAAAAAGATAAAATGGCATATTTGATAAGCAATGATAATAAGTTAATGGAACAACAGCGACAAAATTCAGATGAAATTGATGATAGGCCAAGAAATTTCGTCAATTGTCGCCGACGGTTAGCTGTTTTTTTCTTTTTTAATGAGAGGAAACTAGTTGGAATTAAACTAGTTATCAATGATATGTTGCAAATTATTTCAAAAGTGTAATTCAGTAATTTCTTTAAAAATTCCTATTAATTATTCATTACGTAAATTTTTCCAAAAAAAAAACGAAAAATCAACGAATAAAAAGTTTCCAACTTATCTAACTATAACAAATTCGATATCTATATTTCTATTAAATTTCATTTTATTCGCAATTATTTGTTAATATAATTTCTAAAAACAAAAAAAAAAGTAGACAAATAAACAGTACTTGATAAATTTTTATCAGTGATAATTTCGAATGTATGAAAAATTTTAAAAGATTTTTGTTTTTTGCAAAACAAATCTTCATTAACAATAGCTTTCATTTTTGATATCCGTTACTTACTTCTAATTTTACACTACTAATTATCATTTAGTTATTATTCACTTAATTATTGAACAGTTTAGTTAAAGCAATTACCTGACATTATAATTCATTAATCGGTACATTTCCCCGGACTTTATATGTTATCACTAATTAAGTGTTGCAGATTAATTCGCAATTCAATTAATTATATTATTATGATACGCTTATGTTTGATTCGACTTGAAAATATGTTGATTCAATTCGATAATTTATTTAACCTTTTCGTTTTTAGAAATTTCACATTATAATGCTTATTAAAATTCAAATCCTTCAATCTTAAACATTTTATAATGGAGTGATTAATTAAAATTCAAATTTGTCATTCTTGAACATTTCAAAATCTATTAATTAATTGAAATAAGAAATATTCGTTTTTTCAGTTTTCAAATATTTCTAAAAATAAATTAAAAAATTCGTTTCGGTAAAAGTTGTCATCGAATTGTCAATCATTCATTTTTCTCTTTTTCTTTTCTTTTTTCACATCTTGTTCACCATCCATTCTTTTTCTCCGTTTTTTTCCTGTTTTTGTCATTTTTTTTCGTTCTAATTATTTGCTTGAGTAGGTTTTTTTTTTTTAAAAAAAACAGAGCAGTATGATTGATTAAAGCAAAGATTGAGAAAAAAGGAAAAAGAAAAGGAAAAAAGAAGAGAAAGAGACAGATTGCTTGTTGGAAGAGAGATCTTTCTTGTCCTTGTTTAGAAATTTTTTTTTTTAAGTTTTAAACTAAGACTGAGACTAACTAGTCCATAACAACATCCTTCCTCTCTTTTTTCCTCCTCCTCCTCTCTCTCTCCTCTAATTTGTTTTTTCCATATTTTCATTAAAATTTAAGCATAATATACACTTAAAGTTTTACTTACTTAGCCAATACTTATTTACTTACTACATATTTACTTATTATTTACTTATTTACTATTTACTTTTTTAGTAATTATTTATTTATTGCTTACTTTCTTACTATTTCTTTGCTACTTTTTTCTTTATACTTTAATATCGTAACATAAAAGTACAAGTGATGTAAAGATATTCTCACTTATATGATCTGAATTGCATTAATCATCTAATTCTTTTGATATTTATTGATAAGCAGTTTAGTTGATAAAGTTAAATTTAAAAGCAATTCTAACATATTTCATCGAATAGAAACAAAATTTTTTGTTAAGGAATTCAGCAATTTCTAATTTATCTGAAATACTATCTGTTGTTGTATTTAAACTGATAACTCTATACTGATAATATAATAATAATGGACCTGTATTCAGACTGATAACTCCACACTGATAATGTAATAATAATGAACCTGTATTTGGACTGATAACTCTATACTAACGTAGTAATAATGGACAGCTAATTATTTAGGAATGATAAATAAGTTTACTAGTTTTTAATAATTATGAAATTAAACTTAAAAATTTTTCCTTCCTCTATACTCTCTTCCACTCTCTTCCGATCAACTCTATTTATTTCGTTCATTATTATCTCTATTTTCTCTCTTTCATCATATTTTATCAATTCTTTTTTCGTTCTTCGTTTTCCTTTTGAACTATTTCAATTTAATTAAAATATTTGTCATATGTACACATTTATCAAACTGTCTCTCTCTCTCGCTCTCTCTGTGTATTTTCATGTCTAAACAAAAAGGAAAAAAAAACTTTATTGTGATATTTTTAGTTGGAATTATAACTATCTAATTGTAATTGAATGATAATGACCTTTTACCTTTTCTTTTTAAATAAATTAAAATGAATGAAAAAAAAAATAAAAAAGGAAATTAAAAATGCAATTGTAATTTTAGTAAAGTTTTGAAGGTAATTTGCGAAAAAAAGAGAGAAAAATTTTAGTTTTTATATATTTTTGAGTTTTTATTGAAGTGAAGAAAAAAAGGAATGGGCGAAGAAGAAGTTAGGCATTAATAAAACATGATGAACTTATAGCCTTCTCTTTTTCTTTTTTTTTTTTGAAAAATTTGCATCTCAAGAGTTGTTCAAACTTATTTACTGCCTTTTTTTTCTACTCTAAACTAAAAAAAAACTTCACTCCTAATCGTTTTGCTTTTTGAAAATTTGAAGTAAACGAAAAATAGCTGAATTTCTTGATAACTTTTTCCTGTTAATGTTATGTTTGCCTATTCAACATAACTATACTTTTCTTCTTGTTGTATATAACTTTGCAATAGCTTCTCAACCTGAAGTATATTATCAGGATAGATTCTTGATCTGAATCCATTCGTTATCCACTGATTTATATTACTTTACAATAACTTCGCAACCTGAAGTATATTATCAGGATAGATTCTTGATCTGAATCCATTCATTATCCACTAATTTTTACTACTTTACAATGGGTTCTTAATTCGAAGTATAACAACATCGGAACCGGTTTTAATCCGAACCTATATTTATTTACCGTATCTAATTCTTTTCCTTTGCAAATCATCCTTGTTATGGTAATTCCATATTTGCATAAATGACATTAAGTAATCATAAGTATACGAATAGACAAAGATCACAAAACTGATATATAAGCTGAAATACAAATTAAATATTCACAAATGCACATTTAATTTCGATGCGTCAATTAATTTCCATTGATTTATATTTGATATTTTTATTAAATAATTCCTAGTTAGAAATTAAAATTTCCCAAATTTACGTTTATTTTTGATTACATTTTATAATATTCATTGAAATTAAACTTTTAAAACCATTTCCTTACTGTACTATCCGGAATCGGTTTGTGATGGATATTTATTTTCAATCATCTCATATTCCGGATAATGTTGGTGTGAAATTCTGGAAATAACCTGCCGTATTGTTTATCTTCAAATTCAGATTTCTCAGTGCTTCCAGTAGCATTGTTTTCCGTTATTCGTAACATTTCACAAAAACCGTAATCTCTATCAAATAATATTAATTATCGTAATCTCTATCAGATAATATTAATATAAGATTAAACTGCCTGATACTGTATCTTGATATTTTCTTCCACCATTGATATAAATATCAATAAATTTGTTTAGTAGTAAGTAACAGTAATAAGCCTTCTTTATACTGTTCAAGTAAAGTATTAATTGAAATTTCATCAATAATTAAATTTTATATAAGCATAGAAAATCACTTTTGATTAGCATAAGTTTGACTTCAAAAATTAATTCTTCTACATATTTTTACTTGTTCGTTGTAATATTTTATAATGAAAAATTTTCATTTGTTTAGCAAATTAAAAGCCAACATTCAAATACAAAATTATTTCTCGTAGAAATAGAACTATGCATAAAATAATTAAATATTTTTAATTAATATTTTTAAAAACTTACCACGACTATTATTTACTTTTTAATTTATGAAGTAAATAACAATCATAGTAATCGTGTGTTATATGATAAGCCAAGACTATTAGATCATTTCTGAGTGATATGAATTAACTTATAGGTACAATTAGTAATATTTGAATTGTTTTACTGAAATTTATGGCGTCAAAAAAACAATTTATTCATTTCAAGTAATTGTAAATAGTCACAAACAATATATTTTATCGATAATTTCAGGATAAAAATAAAATTGCTAGTGAAATAATTAAAATTTGTCCTTAAATCAATTTTTCCCTTCTTTTCTTTCTATTCTTTCTTTTTTTTACTTTTTCAATTGCTAATCATTATGTAACAACTGATAAGAACAAGTTTATCACTTTTATCATCTCATTTGCTTTTTGACAATTTATAATTAACAGTTAATAAGGTTAACACACCACTGATAAACGTAATCATAATTCTTTGGCAATCATGCATCTAATCTACTTTTTCGTCCTATAATTAGCAATGATGGCAATGATAATAACAGTAATTACTACTGCTATGATGTTTACAGGTTAATTAATTAAATGCAGTTTGTTAAGTTTGAACAATATAAAACATTAGCAACGAACATTTTTATGGATTTAAAAAAGAAAAAAGAAAAGGAAATGAAAAAGAAACTTAAGGAGATTCACTAATTCCAACAAAAAGTATGATTATTCAAATTTCAAACATAAATATCTAATTTATTTATTACGATAAAATCGTAAAATGTAATCTGAAATAAGTTACATATGCAATTTTATTTTTTATATCATACCAGATATAAAAATTTACATGATTTTGTTAAAATCTTTATTAACAATGTTTAAGAATAGATTATTGATTAGTTTTTAAGATTGCATCAGTTATCAGACAAATATAGTAGAAGTATTTATTCATATTAGATTTGTTTTTTCTTAGTCCAAATAATAATATCATATTGTATATGTAAGTACTAAGAATTTTGTCAATTTTATGATGAAATTGAAATCATTACGGTGAAATTAGAAATGAAAAACTTAGCAGGAATAGGAATTACGTAAGAAAATTAATAAGTAAAAAAAGATGCCATATAAACGGATCATTTACTATTCGGAAAAATAATTTATTGAAGTGAAAACTTTACTTTCTTTTGTTAATTTAATTTTTGCATTTCGAAACATTTACAGTATTATATTGTTCATTCAAATTTTTCTAATTTTAATTCCAGTCATTACTGCAAAAATTT